GAAGGGTTCTACAAGGGTTCGAATCAATTTTCGGGTCTTTCAATTCACAAGTTCCAAGTCATGTAGAGGCCTTAATAGTTGGAATAGGGTTTTGGGGGTTCCTAAAATATAGTATATATATATATATCCCAAAACCCTATTCTTCCTATTAAGGCCCTTATACCGACAGTAGGACTGTAGGTGCCGCAACCATGCAGAGTATGAGCTTTGCGGCTTGGGGTCCAGAGTGTAGGGTTCAGGATCTAGGATTGAGGGAGTTCCTGTGGGTGCTAGGTCCACCTTTACCTGGAGAATCACGGGGGCTTTGTGGTCAGGGTTGTAAATTTCGTAGCTCTTGTAGTTAAAACTCATTGTATATAACTCCAAGCAGGTATGAGTATAACCTTGCCTACTATGTCTCCAGAGTATACGGCCAGGCAATCCTGACGGCATATCCCTTCCAGCAAATTGGGTTCAGGAGGGTTTACGGCAGGAGACAACCAGAAAACAAACCCTAAAACCCCACACCCCTGACATCTGAAAACCCCCCCAACTTCCACCGCTAATATAAGGTGCTTAATGATTAGAATGTGGTTTTGGGGTATATTATACTATAATTAAAATACGGAACCACCAAAATATTATAGGTAATTATTTAGGCCCCTGCGTGAAACATGAAAACCCGAATCGACCGAATCTCATGTTTCAACTCCCTGGAGTTCACTTTATGCTGAGGACCCCTCCTAATCCAGGCCCCTTTAGGGTTTAGCCCTAAACCCTAAACCCTAAACCTTAAGTTTAACGATCCTAAAGTAGAGCCCCCCAATCATGGCATCCTCGTATCATGTGGGTTAAGATGGGGCCGTCTTAATGGTATCCCCGGGAGTTGAGGTGCTTAGGGTTCAGGGGCTAGGGTTCAGGGGTTTCGGGGTCAGGGGCTAGGAATGATCCCGAAAACAAAATACTAAGTCGTAAACCCCTTATATCAGCGGTTGAATGGGGGGGGGGGTTACCTATATCATTTGGGTGGTTCCTTATTTTAATTATAGTATAATATACCCCAAAACAATATTCTAATTATTAAGCCCCGAAAGGCTACGTGCGAAGAGAAAGCGGCAGGCCCGGTCGTCATGGTTTTATGATGGCTAGTTGTAGGTCCTAAGGTTGTTAGACCTGGAGCTTAACACCCCAAATAAGAAGCCTGGTTCTTTGTATGGGTCCTAACATTGTGTTTACAGGACCAGGGTTTCTGAATCAGTTTCCTGCAGTATGAGCTTTAGGTTTGTTGCAGGGACCCCTAAACCCTAAACCGTTGGCTTTGGGCTAGAAGATGTCGGGCTCACGGAAGCTCGTCTTCAGAGGCGTCTTATTGGTGTTGCTATTTGTATGGTAGGACCTGTAGTCACAGTGTTTAGGGTTTAGGGTTTAGGGGTCTCCAGCAGGCGTGGTGAGCATAGCACCGTCACATCTAGTAGCTTGAACTGGGGGTTTGCGCAATCCCTTGATGAGGTGGGGTGTATACTTTATTGGCCTAAACGAGTACCTATATTAATGTTGGGGGGGTCCTGGTTACAACTCTAGTAGAAGATACCCCATAACCCAATTCTAATTATTAAGGCCCCTACATTATCGGGGCTTCTGCCGGAGTACATCTGGAGTGTCTTTGAGGATGCCAATCAAACGGAGCCCGGGCCGCTAGGTCACCTTTGTCACATATGGGTAATAAAGGGGCCTGAGTAGTTAGCTATGCTAATTTGTGAGGTTCCTTATCAGAGTTATAGTATAATATACCCCAAAGCCCTGTTCTAACTATCAAGGCCTCAAACATTAGCTCTCTAAGTTAGGGTCCCTTTTGTCCTTTGTATAAGGGTGCCGTATTATTTTGGTGACCCGAAGAAGGGACCCCAGTTTAGAGAGCTACCCATATGTCATATAACCTGGACATCTGCAACTAAGCAATGAGCTTCTACAGCCCACACCCTGAACCCCGTGCACAGCCTCCTTGAACCGTGTAAATCTCTGAGACTGTATAAGATGCCCACACAAGCACTGAAATTTTCATCACGAAATCCCCAAAACTCGCGAATGTCCTTCGAACCCTACACCTGCACGCAGACGCGTGATGAATGAGCACCCTTTCTCTGAGAGCCTGAACATTTCCATCCATATTGTATTACCATAGGGGTAGTTCTCTAAAAAGGGTCCCTCTTTAGGTCCTCAATATAGTACGGCACCCTTATAAAAAAAAAACTAGACACCAAAACGGATCCTAACTAGAGAACTAGCCAATATACTAACCATATAAGGTAGGCGAGTTGAGCTAACCAGGGACTGACACCCTAAACCCTAAACGGCCCTAAACTCTTTACCCTAAACCCAAAACCCCTAAAACCCTACAACCCTAAAAGCCCTAAAACCCTACAACCCCAAAACCCCTAAAACCCTACAGCCCTAAAGCCCCTAAAACCCTACAACCCTAAAACCCTACAACCCTGAAACCCCTAAAACCCTACAACCCCAA